AGTAAGTTTGAATCGCATTTCCTCCTCGAAAATGAGGACGACAGGATGGAAAACATCTTGACCGATTCGTCTCGTCATAGTGTAAATTTTATACGAAATTTAAATCCTCCCCCAAATAGCACTCCCTTCGCGCAACACGCAAAGCATGTTAAAAGATCCCCTCGTCCAGAAATCCTATTCATTTCAAACCCGTCATTATTAAATTCCGCCAAATTTAGCACTTTCATCAACTTTAGAACCCAATACATCCTTGTCTTTCTCCATGACCCGTTGAGCTACGAGAAAAAGCTGTTCAATGCTATCGGGACATCCAAGATCATATTTATCTGTGATGATGAAATTTTCATTCCGTGCTTTCCCTGTCACGCTTTTAAATTTGTTAAGAGGGACATTTTTTCGTTAATTCAATTTGGCACCGTCAAAACGAGGTCAACCTGCAGAGAAATATTCTCCTCACCATCTTCAGCGGCCCGTATGTTTCTGATAGAACAGCTTCTTGTGGCCCGAGCCTGAGTAAATTCCCCAGCTTCGGGTGTTTCCCATACTGCGTGAGAAATATGTTAGGAACGGGATTTAATTTCACCACCGTTCGCAGGTCAAGTTTTGGCAAGTCTGGCATTAAAATCTTGTCCATCATAATGATTTTGATGAATTCTTATATTCTGGTTGCAGTGATCATGTTTACAATATGAGACCCGCAATGTTTTTCACCTTTACTACCAAGAAGTTTAGATTTTCCATAGTCACTCAATTTCCGAAAGTGGAAAGTAGTTTTAGTAATATTTTTACCCCATTTGATTACTGGACGTGGACCTTGATTTTACCTTTTTGCAGTTTAATAACTCTTGTAATTCAATTTAACCGGGATATGCGCAATCTCCCTAAAAACAAGGCAGAATATGGTGTCGTATTCCTCCGCGATTTAATGTCAATCACGTCAATTTTGGTGAGTCAGTACGGTAGATGTATTGTGAACTCGTTGCAAAAAAGGGGAAAAGTTGCTCCGATGATTTTAGTGTGGTTTTCGGGGTGCTACATTCTTATGAAAAATTTGTACCATGGATCAATCACGTCAAGTTTGATAGTTACACCTCTTCCCGTGGTTCCCAGATCTTTGGAAGATTTAATGAATTCTAGTCTCAAAATAATCACAAGCAGCACGGTTTACTGGTCAAGGGACGATTATAAACCCCATATAAAATATTTTGAATCCACTATGGTATCCAGGTGTATTTACATTTCGCCCACAGCGTATAATTTCACTGCGATTGTGGATAAAATTTCCAACAAGGAAATCTTGGCGACCAAAGACGCGGAAACTGCGACGGACAACACATTCGCAATTCTAGAGCCGGGCGATAACTTAGTCCGATTGACGTCATCGCTAAAAATAACCGAGAAGCGGTTGGTCATAAACAGCCGGGACGACGATACACCTCTAACGTATGGCACAATAACGTATGGCAGAAAGAATTTTATTTCAACCGCAATATCAAAATTTATCGTAAGATTGACAGAATCAGGTATATACGGGAGATGGAAAGCACTCGGGAGTATGGCACGACGGCTAAACAATATGCGAGATTTTGGAGCAGATTTGAGAAAAAGGTTATTTTTAAAATTCAGTTCCAACTTTAAAGAGGGAAACGTTCAAAGGTCTAGTTCTCAGGGGGAAGCATTTCCCGCAATGTTTTATGTTCTCGCCTTATGTGGCACGATTATAGCGATGGCGGTTGTGCCTTTGTTGGTTGAGTGTCATTTTGGGGGTTGGTGGGCGGAGGTTGACGATTGGGTAGATTCAGAGGAGGAGGAGGAAGCAGAGGGACAGGGGGACATTGTCCTGTCATAAATTCCGGAAAATTTTATCTTACCCTTTTAATAAGCCCATCATCCTCACATCTCTCTAGATCAATTAGTTTATATCAGAGGTCAACGCCGACGGTTTACGCGGCGGCGGCGGCGTGAAAATGTATATTGGTCGGCGGCGGCGGCGCGCCGCGGCGGGGTGATCAAATATGTTAAGCGGCGCCTACATAAATTGCTAAACGTATATACGCTAAATAGGAAGGATCTGAAACACGCTAAATTAGCATTGCTAATAATCTAAAATCTGCAATATTTCTTGGAGAATATATCTTTTCACTAACAAGGGAAACCTCCGAGGTGCCGGTTGAATCCAGGGTTCCCACCTATACCAAAATGACCACAATATGCGATTTATGGCGTAAAGTGGTGAAATTTACGTGCAAAAATCACTTTTCGTCAATCTGTGACGATATTTATGACGAGCGTGTGAGCATGGGTATCATAGAGTTTCATCATGAGACGTCCGGCGCCCGATGCCTCGCACAAGTTGCTGACTGGCTGAACACATGGTCTGTATTCTCTTTTTCAGTTTTTCATGAAAACAAATCTTTCTCTATTTTCATTTGGTTTTTAAAATTCTTATGCACAATAAGACCTAAATAAAATTTGTGAGAATGTGTTGCAACTGGCTAAAGATAAATTTGGAATACACGGTAGGCCAACCACGACCTACAATTTAAACATTGCAAAGAAAGTGTTCTCATTTGTGGAAGACATTGTCAAAAATTCTGGGACTGATTTAGAAACTATAAGCACATTAGAATTTGATATGGACGGGGACATAGATACATATACAGATACATATAGTGAATTAGTGTGTGATAGTGATACTTTAAATAGTGATAGTTTTGATGTTGAACAGAACTCTGATAGCCTTTCTCAACAAGTGTCGCAAGAATGGGAGGAGGAACTGGTTGACGGTGTCGTTTTTACGTATCAGGAAATGGTGAACATTCTTCATTTTTACGATAATGTTAAAAAAAATAAATTCAACCAAACGAAAGGACGATTTAAGAAAATTAAACACAGCAAAACAATTACCAGATTGCGAGCATATGTAGAGAAGAAGAGCACAACATTTCAGAAATTCAAACAGGTGGAAAAATTTGTGCTTGAGCGATTTGAGAATGCGAGATCATCAATGATTCATGTTAATGAGATGGATTTAAGAAGATGGGCGATGTCAAAATCAAGGGAAATTGATTTAAAATTTAAGGCGAGTCCAAAATGGATAATGGACTTCAAAGTGAGAAACAGAATTGTTGGGCGAAAAATAACGAAGTATTTAACGATGGGTGAGCATCAAAATCTCGATAGAGTAGAAAACGAAGCATGCGAATTTGTGCAGACGCTAAATGAAAATCGGGTAGGAATTGAGGAAAAAAATATTTACAACTTTGATCAATCAGGCTTCACGTACGAATACACGCCAAGACGGACCCTTTCGCACAAGGGTGAAAAGGATACGCTCGGAATAGTTGTGTCTCAAAACGCCAAATCTCATTCATACACAATTATGCCTTTGTTATCAATGAGTGGAAAATTTTATGGGAAACTACTAGTATGTCTTCAGGAACCAAAAGGAGTATTGGGTCCTCGTGTCGCTGAAACTTTACGGGTTCCAGAGAACATATATTTAACAGTGTCAAAATCGGGAAAAATGGATAAACAGATGATGAAGCGATGGATCGATGATTGTGTTCAGCCTTTGATAAGCGATCAGCAAATAATGCTTATATACGACTCGTGGGCTGGGCAGGTCGACGAAGAAACGTATTCGTCCCTTGGCGAAAATTGCAGAAGAGAGAAAATTCCGGCAAAAGCAACGTCACTTATCCAACCACTTGATAAGTACATATTTCGTCAGTATAAGATCTTCCGACGACTTATTTTTGAAAGAGTGATGCTTGACGAATTGGCGTTGGACATGCATAATCGGGAGAATGTGCTAAAAATGCACTCACTTATTTTTAATCAAATGCAATCCGAAATATTTGTGCCAATGTGCAAATATGCTTGGTACGCTTGTACATACACAACAGAAAAGCAAGACTTCAAAAACGTTCAAGAATTGTTATTCTCATCAACATATGATAAGTGCGAAATGGATTCATGCCCCATGGAAAGCTTCATCAAATGCGCACACTGTAACCTACATCTCTGTTTCGACCACTTTTTTGTTGAATACCACTACCACTCACTAAATAACGACACTAATTCACATCTACATGATCCTGCACAGAATTCCGAATAAGGTGAGAATTAAAATTATATTAATTTAGAATTTGGATAAAGCGAGAGTTCGTTGCCATCTCCGAATCGCACGGTTAGCCGCTTGAACCTACTCTCAACCGTGGTCACACGCTCGTCATGAATATCGTCATAGATTGACGAAAAGTGATTTTTGCACGTAAATTTCCACTTTACGCCATAAATCGCATATTGTGGTCATTTTGGTATAGGTGGGAACCCTGGATTCAACCGGTACCTCGGAGGTTTCCCTTGTAAGTGTTTCTTCATGCACTTTAGACAACTTTTAGAGAAAAATTGATTATATTTGACGGTCGAATTTTGACCTTTCCAGGTGCTCATTAAAACTGTGTCAAAGATCACGGCTTTTTCATTTCACGCAGTTGGTTGTAACATTCTTACATAATTTTACTATACATTTTAGGTGTTTAAACTAGGTAATAAGTCTTTGTTCCTATTTCTTTGCATCAAGCATCAAGCAGTAAAGCATCAAGTAGTAAATTTGAACTTGATGGTATCGTAAATGTGATCTGGTAAATTTCAAAACGAAAATTTTTAAAATATCAATTTTCAAAATTAAACAAAATTAATATATTTAAAATATTTAATAAACTGTTAAAATTGTAAAAAAGTTAAAAAAAATGTTTAAAAAAACACTAAATTAAAAAAATCATCAGATTTAAATGTAAATCGGCGGCCGAATATTGGCGCCGGAGCGCCGACCAGATTTTCTCGGCGGCGGCGGCGCGTCAAAACGGTGCGGCGTCTGGCGGCGCGGCGGCGTATAATCGGCGGCGTTGACCTCTGGTTTGTATGTATTTCATTATTCAAATGGGAAAAATATTGCTTTGAAATCTTGTGAAAATGAATGCAAGAACTTTGGATGTAATTTTGCATAATATATTTATAGTCATTAGTAAGATTATTGTTTACGATTTGAACAGATAATTTTAATTTTTTCAGTGTCAACGACCAATTTCATTCCAATGTGATCAATCACTATATGTCCAAATACCTATGTACATATGTAATATAAATATATATTTAAGCATTTATGTACCACAAACTCGTAATAAAATTTACCGAAAGTCACAACCGTCCATTTATCGAAACAATTAGAATAATAATTAGAACAATAATTAGAAAACAGGTTGTATTCGCTGATATTTGTTGACAGTTGAATAAAGGTTGACAAACATTTTGCTCAGATAGCTTTTTGAAATGTTGACCTTCCTTTCCGCTGCAGCCATTGTCGTTGATGGATAATTTTAGAAGATTTTTTAAATGCGATTTTTGACTTTTGTCGTCACAAGTTTTTCAGGTCGACCAGTGGGGACTTTGAATTTGAGTTCATTGGATTCCTCGTACTTTTTTATGTAAGAGTTGACATTTGAATGAGGAATACATTCTTGCTTGAAAAATTGCCAAGTGATTTTAGAATCATAGTTTGTTCGATTTTTGTGAAACCCAATCACTCTTTTTTCAACTCTTACCTTTCAACCCAAGTGTTCCTAGTCTTAGCCGTGACTCAATAATTGGTGACATATATCAATGGAAAGCTTATAACTTGGTCTATTCAAAAATAATTTTTTCGAAATTTAATTTCGCTGTGTTCCCGCCTAGCGCACCTTTGATTGGGCAGCCCGCGACGTTAGTGGACATCCTTTATTCAGAATTTCAGACATTCCAACTTTATTAATTAGCTACAAACTAAACAATTACAAAGAGGGTGGTAGCAAGTATTTATTTTTGCACAAAATTTCAACAGTTTCAACAGTACAGTAAACGGCCTTCAGATTAGTAAATATGTATGTATACCAGAGGTGGGCAAGATCAAAGTTTTCGGAGATCAAGATAAAAGATCAAGATCAATTTTTGAGTCTCATAAGATAAAGATCTAGATCAAGATTAATCTGCCGAATACTAAAGATCAAAGATCAAGATCACGATCAAATCAATATCACAAGATCAAATTAATTCCAGTTGCAAATATTTTTTTATACATAAACCGATAAATACAACTGTGTATAATGAATGTAGTGTGTACTGTGCACGCTACAAATACTAGAAAAGTAACCAAAATTGGTTGTCTAACCAATTTTAGTTATTCAAAGCTGACAGCATCAACGTTGTTATAATTTCTTATGTTGTACATACAACAAAATGTTTGCTGTGATGTTCTAAGTTGCTTCATTTCTTGGTGAATTAAGCAATAGTTGAAGTATCAGGTCGTCACAAATTGACGCAAATTGTTGACGGATTAATAATACTCGCATTTAGGAAATAGATCGACGTTTAAAGAACTGGTTCCATTAATCAGTAAAAAAAATTCAATCTCATAGGAATGTTTTTCATTCCCTTGAATGTACATTGAGTAATTGACCAAGGCATTATTTTTCAAAAATTATCAATATGTTTCAAAATGCTACTTTTCATGTTTGGAAGATCAAGATCAAGATAGAAGATTTTACCGAGCTAGATCAAGATCAAGATCAAGATCAAAAGCTTTGACGGACGATCAAAGATCAATATAATATCTTGATCTTTGATCTTGATCTGCTCAGATAATGATCTTGCCCACCTCTGATGTATACATTTTTAATCGCAAATAATGAATAAAATTTACTCAAGATTCAATAAAATTGATACAGATGGCTCAGTAAAATTTATGCTATCCAAGTAACAATTTATCTAATGTTACATATGACATGCCATTTCAAGTTTTACTCAACTTTATTTAGAGCGTAACACTTACCGTGGCAACATAAATTCCAAATCGGCCAAGACAAACGATACCGCCGTCCACAGGGCTAGACACACGTCCATATCTTTGGAATCTATGGCCGTCACAGTGTCCGCGTTTGAATGGTGGTACCAAAAATACTTGTCCGCATTGGCCGCGATTACGGCCCCTGGAACCCCCGTGGCTTGCATGAGCGGGACAATGTCCGTTTTTAGATGGGAGAAATTTTGAACTAGTTTTGTCTCTGGGATGACCTCGGGCTCAAGTAATTTTAAAATTTCCGCCATAATGCATCCCGCTTCACTGGTTCCGTTGAATATTAAACCATTTGCGTCAAAAATTCCGGAATCAGCTTCTTGAAATATGCTGTATTTTGTTTTTAGCTCGTCTAAATGGTTTTCCAAATATTGTTTTGCTCCCAAAGGAACCCTGCCAACTTCTTCGGCACTCCAAATAATTGTTCGGATCGATCGGCGTGGTCGTAATCCAAGTCTTTGAAGAACTTGGACCGCATACAACGAGAGGATTACCCTATAGCCATCGTCCAACGCTCCTTGTCCAGCATCCTAAAATTATTGCTTATGTTATATTCATAGTGAGGTGATCTTAGCTAAACCCTTAACCCACCAAACTGTCAACATGTCCTCCAATTAGGACGAATTCATCCGGTTTTGATGATCCTATGTAATCTCCGATAGAGTTTCGTGTCGTAATATTTCCAACATGTTCGTTCAAGAGCTTAAAATGCACCTCAACTTTTTCTCCTGTACAAAAAAAGCATACATGTAATTATGAAACTAAACACACACTAATCCTAAGAAATCTGGTACTAACAAGGGAAGGTCCCCGACTGCTTATCGAGTTAAGCATTCTCATTATATACATTTAATGCAGTATCTAATACTAGTGACCCAATCTAATAAAATTTTCGTGTAAAAATCACTTTTGGTCATGATATGACGATTTTTGTAACGCATGAAATCACACATTTCCATGCAAATTCTTGGCGGAAATAGTCAGGTCATCATATTCAGCGACTAGTAGGCCGCACCCCCTGCTTTGGAGTCACTGTGGGGGTGGTCAAATATCAATACTAATAACCACACCCATAGGGGGTGTGGCTTTTTAAATTCAAACTACGTTACTTAAATCCCCTTGGCGAGCTGAGCCAATTGATATGTCGCATGACCAGGTTTAAGTTGATTCCCTGGATAGCGACGGCCACACCCACAGGGGGTGTGGCTTACAAAATTTTAACGACGTCACTGAAATCCCCTTGGCGAGCTGAGCCAATTGATATGTCGCATGACCAGGTTTAAATTTATCCATTGGATACCGATAGCCACACCCACAGGGGGTGTGCCATTTTAAAATATGAAATGTGCCACTGAAATCTCCTTAACGTCCTGAGAAGAATGATATGTCGCATGGGGTGCATTGGTAATGTATTGGCAGAAGCGCCGATAACCACACCCCCTGTCGCCATGGGGTCTACGACAATGGGAAGTCCCTCCTATGTCGTTCACATAGGAGGTCTTGGTAAGATTACGTGTATTGGAGACGTTGAATTTCGGAAACTACGGTGGGGGGAAATTTTTACTACATTAAGTGTGCTGATTTGATATTTGACCACCCCCACAGTGACTCCAAAGCAGGGGGTGCGGCCTACTAGTCGCTGAATATGATGACCTGACTATTTCCGCCAAGAATTTAGCCCCAGGTCCGTCGAATCCAGTCGTAAAATTTTAAAATCCGATAAAGAAGTGTTACTTGTTTTTTGACCTTGTGACCTGGATTTCGAGGGGGTGTGCCCGAATTTGAAAAATCTGAAAATATATATTTCTCCCCAAGGTCCAAGGTTTCCAAAACGGGCGCCATTTTGAAAATCCGTCAAGAAATGACCGTGCAATTAATTTCGAAACTTTACATGTTATTACTTATGGAGTGGTCGGCCATTTAGCCTCCCTTGCTCAGTACTTTCTGGATGAACGATAGTACCATATAGTAATAAAATACCTTGGTATTACAGCTTTGCCATATCCGTAGCAAATTTTTACGGACCGGTATAACCTTAATGCCAAGTGGCAGCAACTTTAATTCCGAGAAATACAAATTACATACATACCTTTTTTGTAGAGGCGATACAACAGATCTGCATCTTCAATGGATATTTCTGCCGATGGGATTGGTAAGGAGCCCCCCTCGTAAAACATGAGGCCGGTGTGCGGGTTTCCAAGCGTGAATGTCGCATATGATCTTATCAATGTTCCCACCGCACCCAGTTTCGAAGCCTCAATGGCAGCGAATTGACGATATTTTATTCCATCGACAGGATTGTCAAAGGGTTGATTGAAAACTATGATTTTGTTTGATGCATTTTGAACAGTTTTTTAACTCGTCAAATCCGTTGACGGCAATAATTTCTGCTGTCATTCCTTCCTTCGGAGTTGAAACGGATGGTAAAAGTCCAAGTAGGGATATCGTTTTGGGATAAGGTTTCAATAATTTCAGTGATTCATCTCCTCTGTTTGATATGTACAAAAAAATCGTTATAGCAATCCAGGCAGGCCTTGGTAACATTGCAAATGCTGTAAACTTTGCAAGGTTACACACTTTTCAAAAGTTTATTTACAGGAAAATTAGGTAGCAAATTTTTGTAAATTTGGTTAAATCAATGGCGTCTTTTTTATTTTTTCCACTTTGTAAAATTATTTTATAAACACAACTTCATATCTAGAATATATAAACATCTACTCAATTCACGCAGTCCTTGGTAACATTGCAAAATCGGCAAATTCCGTAACTTATAAATTTTTACAAAATTATGGAAATCTTTGTAAGGAAAATTTACTTACAAAAATTTTTGTAAACTTCAGTACATAAAATTTTGAATAATTATTTGTTAAAAAAAACTGACAAAGTTTATAAGTTATGGGTTTTGAAGACAAAAGACAGGGTGAATATTGGCCAATTGCGTTAATTAACGCAATTGGCAATAATAAAATTTTTCGACGCTTGCAAAATTTCGTAACTTTCGTAACTTACATGCATATTTTACGATACGAAGAATACGAAGGATACGAATGAATTTGGCTTTTCTTTCGGGTTTTATATATAAAAATATGTATGTATGTACCTGATCCATTTTGGAGCGATGACATCCTCCGAATGTACATTTTCAAACCCAATTTCCGGCATAATTTTCAAAACGTGGTCAATAGATTTTTCCAAAGAGTCCGAACCAGTAAGTCTGGAACCGAATTTGTCCACAAAATCGGTCAAATGATTGAGGGCACTTCCTTTAAATGAGCCCAGCATAATTTCTTCATTTATTACCCGGACTTTATTTTTGTAGGTACGAATTTCTTCAAGAATGGAAGACACATTTTGACAATTTGGATCCCCTTTTGGTGGCTCCGATAAAGGTGTCAATGCCAAGACGGAGGAGTAAAATGACAAAAACAGGGTGAAAATCAGAGCGAAAATCATTGGAAGAGACATTGTTAATTTGAAACAGGTTAATTCACAAGCCGAACGACGACTGAGATTATTTCAACTAAAGCAGTCCAGTTTATGCAAACAAATATTTACGAGAAGGGTGATTGGAGGTGACAGCGTTGACGACCTCTCACACGTTAAGATACATACATAATATTTTCAGTTTTATATCAGGTTTCTAAGAAAACTCATTAGATTACATACGCATCACTGGTGTGCTACGAAGGGTGAGGAATATGTATGTATCCATTTACGTGGTAAAGTAAGCAATTGACTCTACTTCGTAATCGTGGGAAATTCCGACCATGCTGATTATGAGCAAAATCAAGTATGTAGATAGTTTGTACATGCATAAATGTGAAAAACCTGTTCTGTATTTTATATATTCTGACAAATTGTTTTCTCACCTCTGGGACTATTTTAATATTGCAGTTTGTAAAATATGCATAAGAGACAAGAAAGAAAACTAGCCTCATCTTGCACCTAGAACTTGCAGAGTGTCTATAACTCTCAATTTAAAGGTTGTGACATGATACGAAAAATACTGGTACTTACATATACCGCGAGAATCAGATTTTGAGATTATGTAAACTGGACAAGTTGAGATCTAAAAATCCGTCTTCCCGACAATTTTATCATAATTCATAACGACAAGACTCAAGCAACAATGAAATGGGTCAAATTTATATTGCCCAACAAAAATTTATATTCTTCCAACCAAAATTTGTTTTCTTCCAACTAAAATTTATAATTTTCGCAACATTAACATTTGCAACCAATCGATTTTTTTGTCCAACCAAAATGTAATATCACCAAATATTACATTTTGGTAATATTATTACCAAATAATGAGCGTACTCACGTCAACCTTCGTATATCTCGAATATCTCGCAAATTGAGCATAGCAACATAACCTGCGAAGTTTTGCGAGATATGCGAGATTTCGCAAAAATTTTGCTGGAAAACCATGGGATTTTTTTCGCAAATTTACCCAGCAATTGAGCATGTCCTTATTTCGTAAAGTAATTCTGCCAGAGAAATTACAGAAATGCATGGAAACAATGCCAAAATAGGTGTATTTCTGTAGATTTGCGAGATAAAAGAGTTTTGCGAAGTCATAATTTGCGAATCCCCTCACGACAGAAATATTTTGATCTTCGCAAGTTTGCTAAATGAGTTGCGATGCGAAATAAGAAGTTGCGGTGAGTACGCCCAATATTATTACCAAATAATTTAGCATCCAAATTACATAATTAAGTGAATTGAAGTATCCAAAACGTTTCCATTATGCTTGAATCTAAACATAAAGCTGAAAGCAATTGCATTTAGCGATTTCTAAAACATTTACTATTAAACGCTGTAGAAATTGCAATTAAATCTGTAACTAATGGGAACCAAATTATGTATAACACAATAAAATAGTAGCTGTTACAAATTTATGAAATTTTTGAAATCATAGTTTTTCAATCCCCTAACCATAAAAAATAATGTTTTTAGCTTAGCAAGATTTCTAATTGAGCTGCAGTGCGAAATTAGTCCTTGTGCGAATCCGCTCAATTTGGGTAGATAAATATGAAAATATTAATTACCTTTCACTTTGCAGTGAAAAGTATTCACTTTAAATGAATGGAAGTTAGGGGACGTTCATAAATTATGTAATGAGAAAGTGTGGATATTTTACAACCCCCTTTAACGTGTGTCACATATATAAGCACGATAGATGTCATTGGAGCCTTGGGGTCCCTATCGAGTTACATAATATATGAACGGCCCCTCATAAATACAGTAGGTGAAAATCAAAATATAACTAACAATACTAGTTTTTTTCGAAAATACAAATTATTCCAAGGGCACACTTTAACTTTAACGCATATTAGGTAATTTTCTCGCCAGACCGTGAAATAAATTTCCCAAAACTTACGACTCCCCAAAATGAAGTATGCGATCCAATTTTGGGATTTTTTTGGCCAGAACCCCGCGTTGATTCACATCTGTCATACGTTATCCTGAACTCACCACGATAAAAGGTCATAACTCGTATTCTCTTTTCTAAAATCCATGACATACTTTATGCTGGTTCCCTTGCGCTATTATGAGAACAATTTGCCTCCCCACATAAATAAGTTTAATCTCAACCCCTCCAAGAACCATCCAGTACCCAAAAATTGAGCAGAGTACTCGTGAGAAATAACAATTCAGTAAAATGGTGGACAAGAAATGTATCTATTCCAAATCTTGTATTCAATTTCATTAATGTGTGAATGCAGGGGAAAAAGTATTACTTTCATTCAATGCATCTCAATAACGTTTTAAGCACCAGAGCAATGGAAAGCTCTCCTAGCGCTGTACGCGCTAAACAAATATTTATTGTGAAATGATGAATGGAGGAAATTGCCTTTTTCACCCTCCGTGAATAGAAAGGCATTCAAGTACAAAGATAAACAGTTTGGTACGTGATTAATCATGTAGTGCAGCCGGGTAGAGAATCTCCCCTTTTTTAATCACCCGGCAAGACAGGGTGCCAGTTCTGGATATTTATTATATTTGTGAATTTGTGAACTCTTAGAAACTAGTGTAGAGTCATTACCGCTTCGAGTGCATATGTATGTATGACTTGGTCGGCACGGTCATAGCCGACTTTACCGTTAGGTGTTGGGATTGTATTGAAAAATTTACAATGTGCAAGGAAATTACTATTTACAAAATCAATAGCCCGATTAATTACGGTTTTTTGTAGTATACTTTTTTCATGCATGTGCTTGGGGGCCATCCATATATTAGGTTATCAAAAACTCTCGATTTTAGTACCCACCCACCCCAAGTATATACATATTAAGGGATACGGAATGTTAACATGGGAAAGATAGTAAGACCTGATCCACACGCGCTCAAAAATGATTACGTAATATAAATATGGACATTCCCTTGTATAATTTTTCTAAAGTATGAGTCTCAAAAAACTCTATAGTGGGTCCAAAAATTACGATTATCATAGGTAACTGCTTAAGCAAAAGCATGCACATTTTACATTAAAGTAGTTAGATGAACGGATTGTCTTCTGTAAATATTCTGCGAATACTTAGCAGGACAGATGTCTAAATAAAAAACACGATGTTGGGAACCCTGTTTTAGTTACTACCCTTCTCAACCGAGAATCTCTCTAAGATAAATACACTAGAAAGTCTTCTTTCCAACAGTGGCAGTTTCCAACTTCTGGCAACAGGGCCCGTACGCCTGTGATGAAAACTTAGGGAAACTCGGAATTTTATTACTTAAGAGATGTTAACGAAGAAGTGGTGAAATCAGACTTCACCTTTGATGACGTCTTTTTGAACGTCCTCCTACCCTTTGATCGAAACCGACGCCAACTAACATAAGATCACTCCCATCACATCGGTCGCTTCACTCCTGGACTTTCCCAGGGTCAGATCAGTCATCCTTCCGTAATCGTGTCCGGTATTTTGTAAAAGTTTTATAAAAATTTGACATCTCCATTTTCTTCCGACACGTCATCAACACTGAAAAGTTACGCAAATAACGTTCTTAAATCTCAAGGTCAGTAGAAACCCTGTGAATAAATGAGATTAGTTTTGTGCTGCAAAAACTAAAGCCAAATACATATATCTAGTTAAGCGAACTCGAACAAAGAAGTAAGTTTTGTCACCATTTTACATACATACATACATATTACATAATTCTACACACATTTCTGTGCATTGGTATATACATATGTACCAATGCACATAAATATATGTATACATATATTTTTATCGGAGAAAGAGAGAACGAGATGCGCCAATTTAAAGATATGTATATATTTCTCTCGAATTTAAAAATATGCATCTGACTGGTTGTGAGAATTTTCAATATTAAACTTAATACATACATACCTAATTTGGTACTTGTACATACGAAAATAATTTTGGTTGGAAAGGAAGAATACAATTTTTGTTCACAAGCTTGCACATGAAAGTTGATGTTTTTATTTCGAAAGTACAAAACTACTCAAAATATTTGGTCTATGAGATGCTGTGGGTGCGTTGAGGAATTCATAAATACAACAATATTTTATGTAGTATCTTAAGCTGTAGTATATTTATTTTAAATTAGATTACGTACATATAGTAAAAATGAAGGATTTTTGAAGTATTTCAAAATATATATATGTCCAATATTTCAACCCTACAGGTACCCACTCACCGAGATGGAAGATATGTACAAGCCCAATAATAAAGCTAATCAAATCGTCGAACGTTAAAAAAAAATCAAGGAAAAAAGGTAAACGATTTGGCAATAATGAAATCAGTACATACTTAAATAAAAATTACAGATTGAATTTGACCGTGAAAAATTCCATTTACAATTATGTAGAAATCGAAGTCATCAACGACCCTACTTTCTCCCTCAACGATTGAAGACTCTGCAGCCTGATTGCAAAGGAAATGTCATATTCGGGGTACTCCATGAGCTATGGTAATGGACCTGATGTCGAAAATCGATTTTTTGAAATCCTTCAAGTATGTGTTAGAGGACCTTAAAATATGCAGAAAAATCATTTTCCCCGAATTTTTGAGGTTTCCATGGGGCTGATAGGAGGGGGTGTGGCTTCCGTTGAGATACCACCTTTACGCAGCCGCTATTGCACACAGGGGCTCCAAATTTTACATGAAGTTACCATGGGCCAATACAATTGCGGGTCTTCTTCTCTTTTTTTGCAATTAGGTCACAGTGACCGTTTTTAGGTCAAAATTCATGGCATGTCAAATTTGTCTGAAAAGTCAAAGTCTCACATAACCCCATAAATGGGGTATCGTTGGAAAGGTCCTGGCAAGAGGATTAAGAATATATATACTTTGTGGGGTGTATGACCACTCCTTGGTGTTCCAGAGTCAGAGCAATATTTTTGAGTTTGTCCCATCTATTTCTATATTAGATCCCCAATCTGCTGCTATGTTAAAATCCGGCGAGATTGAAAATTCACATTCTTCTGCCTCTAGAAGGTCAGGGGGTGGCCAAACATCCGACAAAGTATATAT